CACTGCTGTTTGGTTCCTAGGCAACATATTTGGTTGCTAAGCAACATGAAGTCCTGGTCACAATGGTAATTATCAAACTGTTTTGAACCGGTTTGAAACCCTTTAGTGCTCTCAAAACCTGTGGGACATATAAGTCCCACTTATGGTTTCCAGCCTTGGGGTTTTATGGGCAGCTCACTCCCCCACCCCACCCCCATGCTTAGGGCAGAGACTTATGTAACTGAGTAAAACAGAAGGAACTTCATCAAGGACATATTACTGGGATGAGAGGTTATTATATGAGATGGCACATCCCAGAGGAGTGATTGTATGAAACTTTTGTCCCTCTGAGCTTCTGTAATTAGATAGAACTTGCAGGTAAATGAGATAAGCCTTGTAAGTATAACTATTGTTTCCCGTGTGTTATTGAGAAGGTAGAGGGGTTGGTATGAGGCATCAGTCAAGTGAAAATGCTTTCCACACCTTGTCTTACCTGTCTTACCACCAGGGTCCATTGGGACGTACAGGTATGTGTACCAGAGGTAATAGTTCTCAAGATCTAGTGCATCCACCAATTTTTTCCTTAACTCTTGTGATCGCTAGGCTTTGTGTCAACTTATCTGGGTCAGAATTCTCAGTAGTTTAGCAGTTGAGGACTCCTATTTAAGCAGATTCTGTACAAAGGCTTCTTTCTTGCTGAGTCTGGGTCCTGCATCTGCTTCATCCATCTCTAGTTCTTTGGGCTTCAGCCAACAGCCGCCATATTGCCTGCCCACCTTGAGACCTATCTACAGCCCGCAGTATTGCTTCCTACCCTGAGAGCTATGTGAGGCCTACAGTATTGCTTCCTACCCTGAGACCTATCCACGGCCCATAGTAATGTTTCCTATCCTGAGAGCTATCCGCGGCTCACAGTAATGCTTCCTACCCAGAGAGCTATCCGTGGCCTGCAGTATTGCTTCCTACCCTGAGACCTATCCATGGCCCACAGTAATGCTTCCTAACCAGAGAGCTCTCCACGGCCCACAGGATTGCCTGCTGATCTGGATTCACCTGCCTCTGCCTCCATCAGCCTGTGGTCTTCCTGCTAGTTCGTCAGCCTAGCACCTACGTGAGTCAGGAAAAGCCTTCAGCTCAGAATGGAGTGACCCACGTTTACGTGGTGAGAGTTATTTCCTTGATGTAAGTGACTCTCGTTGTGTATACAAGTATCACTGGGTTGGCTTCACTAGAGACGCCTGCCTAACACAACACGCAATGAGCCAGCCTGCATTCTATCTG